TTGCCTTCGGCGTTTCAAAGATGATGGAGGAGCTGGAAGCTCCCGACGAGTCGAAAACCATCATTATTAAAACTACTGATGCTATCCTCAATCTATGCGCTGCTGTGCTCACCGGTTCTGCTTGCATTGCTGCCTGGCAGACCCTCATCCAGCGGGCCCTGTGGCTCAAGGCCCTGCCCTCCATTCCTGTACACCTGCACAGGGAGATGCTGGAAGGCCCCATCACCTCTGACGTTTTGTTTGGTCCCCATCTTAGAGGCGTCATCGAGAGGGCTCAGAAGACAGCTGAACTATCAGCTACGGTGCGAGACCTGGTCCACCCTCGGTCAGCCTCGCACTCCGGCCGTTCCGCCAGAGGATGGGACAAACGGCGCGGAAACTTCAGGCGCCCAGCTGCGCCGCCCGCCCCACGGAGCTGGCCTCCTGCTTCGGCTCCACCTCAGCGGGACCAGCGAGTTGGCGGCCAACGGTTTCGACGGAGCCAGCAGACGCTGTCTTGGCAGTCACAGGTGCAGGAGCCTTGCCGAAAGCAGCCACGAAAGTGACTCTTTGGGGGGAATGTGTGTGTACATGATTGTAATGATGTTGATGTTGGTTTTGAAATAAAACCCAAAAAACGTCACTTAAAGAGCACAATCCTACAGTCCTCTGCAGAATCCTCTGCTGACTCTTCACACATGTTCCCCACACCAAGCACTGCGGCACATATACGTATTCCCGCAGTCAGTCATATCACACGGCCAGCTGTAAGGGTGCGCTCCATTTGTGCACCGGCCCCAGCCTCCGGCCAGACTCAACTCATCCCGTTTTCCCCACAACTTGGGTGGGACGGGATGTCATGGCGCTGTCATGATCACGCGCGGCGGCACAGTGCGCGGCTCCGTCCGCGGGCACTTTGTCGTCCCCGTGTACGGGCCCGGCTCCCACTCGCCTCTTCCAGCTGTTTCACACTCGCCCTTTCGAGCACAGCCCTCCATGGGTTGCCCCCAGTTCTCTGGGACGGGCGACGGCGGTAAGGGCGCATACCCAGTCATCAGACGTTGCTCACGTGACCGCGAACACGCGTCCACTGTCGGAACGCGCGCACGAATGGCGCCGCCTTTGTACCATGGGCAAATGGATATCGGAGACCATTCATTGCGGTCACACACTCCATTTTCAGGCCGCTCCTCCTCCCTTCAACGGGATCGTGGAGACGACGTTCACATCACAAGTACAGTCTCAGGCCCTAGAGCTGGAGTTGCGGAAACTTCTGTCCAAGGACGCTATTTCCCGAGTCCCTCGCGGACAAGAGCTCTCGGGCTTCTACTCCCGCTACTTCGTAGTACCGAAGAAGTCGGGAGGAATGAGACCGATTCTCGACCTTTCCCTGTTCAACTGCTGCATAGCAGTGATGCATTTCCGCATGTTAACAATGAGGCAAGTCCTAGAATACGTGCGCTCCGGGGATTGGTTCACATCAATAGACCTGAAAGACGCATACTTCCACATTCCAGTAATTCCAAAACACCGGAAGTTTCTGAATTTTTCATTCATGGGAGTTCAATACCAGTTCAATCGCCTCCCTTTCGGCTACTCGCTAGCCCCGCGCACTTTCTCCAAATGTCTGGAGACCGCGCTGCAGCCGCTGCGCACGGCGGGACTGAGGGTTTTATTTTACCTGGATGACCCGCTCCTGTGCACCTGGTCCGAGGACGAGGCGTCAGAACAGACCAGGAAGTTAACAGAGCATCTGTCAACCCTGGGGTTTTCTATGAACTGGGAGAAGAGCTCCGTCCTTCCATCCCAGTCGATTGTGTTTCTTGGGGTGGAGCTGAATGCCTCCCTAATGAGAGCACGTTTGTCGCCGGTGAGAGCGGCAGATCTCATCACGGTTATCTCCTTCAGGATTGTGAGAGCCCTGTTAGTCATGAAACTTCTGGGCATGATGGCTGCAGCCCACGCTGTAGTGCCGCTAGGTTTGTTGCACACGAGGCGCCTGCAACGTTGGTTCATCTGCCTCCGGGTACACCCAATACGTCAGAAGAAACGTATGTTGGGGGTTCCCCCCTCAGTGGGCGGGGACCTCACTCACTGGGGGAATCACTGTACCCTCTCACACGGGGTTCCCATCGGACGTCCTGCGTCACACGTATCTGTTTTTACGGATGCGTCACTGTTGGGGTGGGGGGGTTACGTGCTTGTCCCATACGGTGGCAGATCGCTGGCCCTCCCACACGCACGAGCACATAAATGTGTTGGAGCTTATGACAGTGAGGAATGTGATCAGACACTTCGCGGCCCTTCTCGAGGGCCGTCATGTCGAAATTCACACAGACAACCAGGTGGCGGCAGCCTACATAAATCGCCAAGGGGGAGTTCGATCCCTCCCGCTGTTGCGTGTAGCCACAGATTTACTGTGTTGGGCACATGTCCACCTGCTGTCCATCAAGGCCACCTACATTCCGGGGGTCCTGAATATAGCAGCAGATATCCTGTCGAGAGGGGATCCCCGCGACTCCGACTGGCGTCTGCATCCTGCGCTGATATCTCAGATCTGGATCAGGTTCGGGGAACCTTCGGTGGATCTGTTTGCGGCTCGCGAAAATGCTCAGTGTCGCCTGTGGTTTTCCCTGAGTCCCCGGGACCGACCCCTACTCGGGGCGGACGCCTTCTCACACCAGCCCTGGCCTCGAACGCTCCTCTATGCGTTTCCACCAGTCCCTCTGATTCCCCGTCTCCTGGACTGAGTTCGGTCAGAACAGCTCTCTGTAATTCTGGTGGCTCCCAGACGCTTGTCCGCGTCATGGTTTCCGGACCTGCAAGCACTAGTGTCCGGCTCCCCGTGGAGGCTACCGTGGAGGAAGGATGCCCTTCTCCAGGCGGATGGGACAATCAGACATCCTCCCGAAATAGGCCAACGGCTTTGGGTCTGGCCGCTGAGTGGTCACGCTTAGAGGCTTCTGGGCTGACGCATGATGTGGTCGCCACGATTCAGAGTGCGCGGGCACCCTCTACCGTTGCATCTTATGCTGCTAAATGGGCAGCTTTCCAGAACTGGTGCACAGAGCGGAATGTTCAAGCACTCTCCTGCCAGCTGGCAGATGTCCTATCGTTTCTGCAGATACTGATGGACAGGGGCCTCACATTCAGCACTATTAAAACATATGCTAAAGCCATCTCATCCCGTCACCAGGGTTTTGGAGATAGATCTGTTTTCAGTCATCCCCTCACAAAACGTTTTCTAAAAGGTGTCAGGAGGAACAGACCTGTGTCCCGCCTGCTATTTCCCCAGTGGGACCTAACGGTGGTTCTGCACGGCTTATTTAAAGCCCCATTTGAACCCTTGGACCAGGTCTCACTTAAGTTTCTGTCACTCAAAACGGCCTTGCTGCTGGCGCTGGCATCAGTCAAGAGAGTGAGCGACCTAACCGCCCTCTCAGTGGCTCCCGCATGCCTCAGGATCCGGGAGGATGGCGGGTCTGCTGTTTTATGCCCAAACCCAGCCTTTGTGCCCAAAAACATTAATGCTTCCTTCAAATCCAGGTCAATTTCATTGGCTGGACTTTTTCCTCCTCCCCATAAATCTGATGAGGAGGGGGCTTCCCATCTTCTCTGCCCGGTGCGCGCGCTCGCACGATATGTGTCGCGCACTTCGGGGATTCGCCGCTCACAAAGCCTGTTTGTGCACTACAGGGAGTCTTCCCTTGGGAAGGCGCTGTCGACCCAGCGTCTTTCACACTGGCTATGTGACGCCATTTCACTCGCTTACACATTTTCGGGGCAGGATCCTCCTGAGACACTCAGGGCTCATTCAGCCAGAGGGATTTCCTCTTCTATGGCGCTCCACAGTGGTGTGTCGATGGAAGACATTTGTCAGGCTGCTTCATGGGCCTCATCCTGTTCCTTTACTCGTTACTATTTATGAGATGTGTCTTCAGGTTCCATCACTCGTTCAGTGCTTGGACCTCAGCAGGCTGAGTGAAGGCTTATGGCACCTCATCAGCCCTGCTTGAAAGATTTTCATCCTCTTGTGGATGATATTTTTTAGTGGGGGCTCCACTCTTGTCTCTGGCTGCCTCAGCCTTTAAGCCTGGACTGAGGCTGAGCGTCCCTCACTAAAAGAAGACTTGTTGGGTGTGTTCATTGGTTGAGCTAACCAGTGTGGCGTAAACCCATCCAGCTGCACATTATTCCAATAGCAGCTCGCTTAAGGGCTAAGACTAGACGAAATAGAACGTTGGTTACGTATTGTAACCCCAGATTCTATGAGTCTAGTCGCAGCCCTTAAGCCACTGGCCCCACTGGTTCTGTTAGGACTAAGAGCCATCGGAGGCGAACAGTGGAGTCGCTCCACTTATATACCCACAAGGGGGCCCACTATTGGTGGGTGTACATTTAAGCTCTTCATGATTGGCTGATGCTGAGATCATCCTTCCAATAGCAGCTCGCTTAAGGGCTGCGACTAGACTCATAGAATCTGGGGTTACAATACGTAACCAACGTTCTTTCTACCATGCTGCTCTGTTTACAACTGTCTCGCAGCGAGCAACGACATAATGCTCTTGCGCATGCACAGCTGTCTTGGCAAGTTCTCATTGTGAAGGATGGGACGAGGCACCGTTTCAAATGAAGTGAATCGGTGCTCAGTCGGTACAGTGGAATTCGGTCAGTACCTTAAAAAGTACCGAATTCGGTACCCATCCACTATAAATAAATTATATATATATGGCTATTACTAAACTTAAGAAATTTTAAATCTTACATAGAACTGGTGCTCTTCCATTAAATAGGCCCTTATGTAAATATTTCTTGGTGTGACTTTGGCTACAAGTCAATTTTATTTACACATAAATTTGACAAATATTACAAGTTTGACGTTATGTGTAAATTTTCTACTGATAATTACGTCAAGAAAATTCATTTATTCATTTATTCATTCATTTGTTGACTCCGATTAAACTTGAATCTTACCAGTGGAATTTGCAACGCTTTTATTCTGAAATAAACTGAGCGGAAGCATCGATGCACTGACATGACTGACCGGAAAAGGTCTGGTCGAGCATTGATTACTGTAATTTATAATCGTGTCTTGTGTCAGAATGGCTGCAGGTGAAGACATGAGGGGAAAAGTGAAGGTAATTGTGTATTTATTGACCATCAGATTTAGTTTTGTGTTCATTTGGACTTCATGGAAAACTTTTCCAAACATCATTAGAATAATAATCGGTTAGTTCTTACAAACGGAAAAGTTTTTTTGATCATAATTTGCTCCTAATTTGTGAATCGTGAACTAGTTTAACATTGTTTTTACTTAAAATAAAAATTAAAAATAACTCCCAGAAAAGCACACAATGTACATGATGTCCTGCTGCAAGTGAAACAATAGATCCTTTTGCACCCTTTCACTGTTACGGTGAAAAAAGTCTATTTAAAATAAGAAAGAAAATCAAGAAACTAAAGTAATTATTTGCTGATTAAAATCCTAAAAACAGATCAGTCACCACATGAAGGCAGTTGTAAATCCAGTTACATTATAACTAAAGGATGTTTGTGAAGTAGCTAAATATTAAACCAGATAACTAGAGCTGTGACGTCACACATCCAGGAATACTATGGCCTTTGCCTGGAGACTTCCAGGGATCTGCAGACCAGTGCTGCCTCCTGCTGGTCAACTTGCAGTCCGCTGCCTAGAAGTGTCACTGAGGCTCTGGGTCAAGTTCACCATGAGGTCAGCAAAAGGTGAGATTTGCAAACACTGATCACTGTTTAAAGTTACTTTAGACTTTAAAAGTTTCTTTCCCAAAGCCATCATCACTCTAAACTCTCATATGCACTGACTCAGTTAAAAAAGGCACTACTGGCCCTCTTCCATACATTCACTGTGATATTCTGTCAGCATTGCAAAACAACTTTACACTGTGATATATAACATGCCCCAATACCACCTAACATACCAAATATATTCATCACTACTGCACAATATGGATCATGTGTGAGAACTCTGTATAATAACTCTGACTCTGTGAAATTGATCATGTGCAATAACCCGCACTGGGATATACAATTTTGTAAATAATATTTGAAATTATTCTTTCTTCACATAATTTTTGCATTCATACCTGTGAACCGTGCAACCCTTTCTTTTCCTCCTGTTGTTTCTACATTTTTATTTTTAAATTGATGTTTCTCTTTTTAACATATTTTATCTCCCTTGCTTGTTTTTGCACTGCAGAAGGTGTTGCTCTCAATCTCATTGTACATGTGTATAATGACAATAAAGGCATTGCATTTCATTCAAACGTTGTTTCCTTAGATATCTTTAATGACATTTCTCCAGATTTTTCGGATGTGGTCTCCCGTTTCCAGCAAAGCTCGAGGGCTGCAGGGTCCTGGACCTCGGCAGTGGCTCTGGACGTGATGTTTTTGCCTTCAGTAAGCTTGTTGGACCTGATGGACATGTCACAGGGATTGACATGACAGAGGAACTGGTAACTAATTGTTCACAGCCCAAAACATCACACCTAATCCTGCTGTATGACTAATTTAATCCCACTTCTGCAGATCTCAGCATCTCGTCAGTACGTCGAGTACCATCAGAAAAAATTTGGTTATGAGGCGCCCAACGTGACTTTTGTCCAGGGATACGTGGAGAAGCTCAGTGAAGCAGCCATACAGATCAGCTCCATGGATGTTGTGATGTATGTTAAGATTCACTCAGCACAAAGGGTTTTATTCAGTCAATAAAGCAGATATTTATGTTTATGCAGTTCCAACTGTGTGATTTGTCTGTGCCCTGATAAAAAAGTGGTTCTGCAGGAAGCCTACAACATCCTAAAGGTTGGTCTGAAAAGTTATGATACAGCTTTGTGAGGATAAAGAGGGAAACTTCCCACCAAAATATGCTGAAATATTTATTTATTTTAAACAGGAGGGCGGTGAACTTTACTTCAGTGACATGTTTGCAAGCAGAGTTATTCCAGAGCACATGAAGCAGGATCCAGTTCTGTGGGGTGAAGTTAAAACTAAAACGAACAGTCCCTAACAACACAATCCTCTGATTTTAGGTTATTTCCCTTTTCTTTTCTCAGGAGAAGGCATGAGTGGCTCTCTGTTTTGGAAAGATCTTATATCTCTGGCCCACGAAACTGGCTTCAGCACTCCGCTTCTCGTTTCAGCGAGCCACATTGAAGTCCACAACAGGGATCTCAAAGCAAAAGCAGGTATTAGAAGGCGAGTGTAATCACTCAGATGTGACTACATCTAAAGTTGGACTCGGCTGTTTTTCTCCCAGGAGACATCAGATACGCTTCAGGCACCTACAGGCTTTTTAAACTCCCAAAACGGTCAGCAAGGTCGGGTGCAGTCGTGACCTATAAAGGGACCTTGTCGGATTTTCCGGAACAGCTGTACTTTGATTCTTCACACAGTTTCAAGGTGACCAATCCCACATTTTAAGTTTTATTAACAATCACTCCAGCATATTTATTGTTCCAGTTAAAGTTAAAAAAGGGATTTGAGGTTAAAAGTGCATGTTCTGTTTGTGTCCTGTACAGAAAGATGTGAAGGTGGAGGTGAATGCAGAAATGTTAGCGATCCTCCAGAATTCCCGTTTCTGCTCCGATTTTAAGATACAGATGTTAGACAAACCCGAGTCCACCACACAATCAACAGATCCGGTAACTGAAAATAGGTTTTTAATCTTTTTATGCTTTAATTTCTAAAAAACAGCTATTTTAAATCTGTTTGATTTTCATGAGAAGGATTATCTGTTTTCTCAGTTCTGCCTCTTAGACCCGTTTCTGTTGGCTGACAGACGAGGAGCCTCTGTGAGACAATGCTCCAAAACTCACAACTAAAGAGTGTGTATGTGTGTGTGAAGGGGGGTGACGATGTACAGGTACCAAACCAATGTGATAAACAGTGATCCACAACGAAGCTAACACAATTTGGTGTGGATCTGATGTTGCATTATGGAGATTTAGCTGTTTGGAAAAATCTAGGGGGCGTTATTTTAAAAATTGAAAAAAATCAACATGAGCTGATCTTAGGAGGACAAAGATAATTCATGTGCAGTTTGGTGCAAATCAGATAAGGCATGTACAACACAGAGCCAGCCATATGAGAGGAGGCAGAGCTAATACGATTTTAATGATTGCGCATGTGAATATCCTTGCAGCTGTTGTGTGATCACACACAGCAAGTTTGGTTTAGCTGTGACCTTGTTTGTAGGAAATATCAAAGTTCTAATGTGTCTAGGGGCACCATTTCAAACTCCAATATAATCCCTCACAGCTGTTCCTAGATTGACAAAGATCATTTATGTGCAGTTTGGTTTGAATGGGACAAGGCAAGCTTCATGTATAGCCAAGTGTCACACAATGGGCGGAGCCAAACATAATTCACCAAATTTTATCATATCAATGTGTTAAGTGATGGTGTAAGAAGAAATAAAGCAAGTTTAGTAGAGTTGTAACCATTTTTGTAGGATTAATAAAGATTTAATCAATCTAGAGGGCTCTGTCTCTGAATCAAGTTAAGTCCCATTTAGCAGTTCTTAGGTTTATGTAGTTTTGTGAGAATCAGATCTTGCGTGTTTTATTTAGAGAAAAATATCCCTAAGGGGGCGGAGCTAAAGTTATTTCAACAAATGACCACATTAATGTGTTGACAGCTTTTGTGTGATGACGCAAAGCAACTGTGGTAAGGTTGTGAACTTGTTTGTAAAAGTTGCTAAAGTTTGAAATGGATGTAGGGGGCGCTGTGGCGGAATTAGGGCAAGTTCACCAACAATTTGCAAACATTTGTTTCATTCGTGTTTAAATTGGTCCAGATCAGAGAATGTACATTGAAATTACAGCCAAACGTATGGCCACGCCATGACATCAGCATTCGCCGCACCACCACAGCTCTCAGCACGATACTTTACTGCACCAAAATGTTGTCTGTAATTGGGCAGTGGCTTATGTTGATTAGAGACAAAGGGTCAAAAATTGATCTTTTCTGGTAAAACAATAGACTTCCTGTTTTCAGGGGGCGTGGCTTTGGTGATGGCAGGAAAATACACTGTCTTGAGATCTGGCCTGTGATGAGAGACGTTGAGACGTCTGATGAGAGAAGTTTGAAATGGCTCTGATCATGTGTCTGGGAGTTATTATACAAAGGAGTTTGATGGCAAAAGGTGAATATTTTATGCTTAGCCACGCCCCCACACATCAGACTTTTGAAAATGATTTCGACAACTTTTGTTCCCCATTGTCTTAGAACTAGAATGTAGGATTTTTAACTCCAAAAGCTCAAAAACATGTTATCCAATGAGGGGGATTTTTCCAGTTTTTGTTTAGAACAATGGCATCATCAAACTGTTACATTCTGGGAAATGTAGTTCATGTTGTTGGTGACAAAGAGCTTTTGCCAATAACGTAGCCATGGTGACCTAAAAAGCTAAGAGAAAAAGTTGCACACTTCCCCCGACCGAGTCGGTCGATTTTATGTAATATTTGTGAGGTAACACACTTCCGTTAAAGACATCAGTTATCAAAAATAAAGAGACTGTTATGTCAGATGACAAAAACAATAAAGGGCCTGCTTGGTCACTCAGCTGTCCTGGTTCAAACTTGAAGAGGGTGCACCATCTATTCAGACACTTTTTAAATTAAAGTTTTATTGAATCAGTTATAAAACTCACAAACCAACGATGTTCACCCAAACTTCGTCCTCATCATAAAACATTGAATCCTCCAACCTGCTATAGCAGTAACATTGTCAGAAGAGCACATTTGCATGGAAACACAATGTAAACGTGATTTATCCAAAGAGAAACCAGAGTAACAGGACTGATGAGTCCCCCAGAACTTTAAACTGAGTGGAGCAGAAATGATGGAGAATCGTTAAAAATACTCTAATAAATCATGAAGAAAAACCAACATTTAAAGGCACTTTAATGGACGACATTTCACACATTATGCAATTTATGCTGTTTTAACAAGAAAATAAAACAGACTAACTCTACTTTATCTGACTACTTAAGAGTGCAAGATGAGCAAATTCAATAAAGCTCTCCATTGCTATGGTAACATCACTGTTGAGAAGACCAGATGGGAGGTCTGATTGGTTTCCTGAGGCAATAAATGGAGCAACAGATTAGAGCAATATTAGGCAGAGAGAGAGAGAGAGAGAGAGAGAGAGAGAGAGAGAGAGAGAGAGAGAGAGAGAGAGAGAGAGAGAGAGAGAGAGAGAGAGAGAGTGAGAGTGAGAGTGAGAGTGAGAGTGAGAGAGAGAGAGAGAGAGAGAGAGAGAGAGAGAGAGAGAGAGAGAGAGAGAGAGACCTCTGTCTTTGAGAGGTTCTGCTCCTGAAAACATCTGGTTACATCTGGAGCCAGCTCAAGTCATCAGATCTGCAGACCAGAGAAGTAAAAACAGGCAGGAGTTAGAAACGCACAGATCATAGAGAACAGAACTTTTTTGTAATTTTTTGGTTTAACTATCTAAATAAATATCCAACAAGTGGGAGATTTCATTATTTTTTTCTCTTGCAAAAATGTCCAGAAAATTTCAGGGACTTATCCTAATATTTAGAAAGTATCCAGATTTAAATCAATAAATCCAAGAAGACTTATTAAATTATTAAAAGAAAAATTAAATCTTGCATATGTGAAGACCTAAAAGAGTGAGGCAAGTCATGCACATGCAGAAGTGTTATACACAAAAAACTATATCACTAGGTTAAAAATAGAAGCTGATTTTTCTAAATGATTACATAAATAACATCAAATACCATGAAATCAATATAAATCATTCAAGTTCTCTTTTTACCACCAATAATCTTAAAAATCTAATGCAAAGGCTCTAAATTTTCCAGATTGTAAAAGTACACGCAGTCACTCACTGAGCCTGTTTCTTTGTGATGTTTTTGCCCTCGGCCATCAGCTCTGCTACCTGAGCCACAGCAGGATCAAACATCAGACTGGCAGCAGCTACCACCTCCTCATCCCTGTTTAGCACAGAAACAGCTGTTCAGCACAAAAGGGCTGAAACTTCTCCTCAGAGGCATCGGACGCTTCCTCACAACTGCTCACTTTATGTAAAAGGCCAAAAACTTCCTTTCTTCTACTTTGCCTTTCACTAGGATCTCCGTGTATCCCTCTCCATAGCCTGGAAGAGAAACACAATGAATACAGAACTTTATTTATGCTGCGCATGTCAACTAATAAGAGTAAATAACAGATTATTTGAACAAAGCCGAACAAACGTGTTTACAGTTTGTCACTTTAAATACTCAGCCTGTATATCTGATGCTTTTTCCAGCAAGAGCGGACCAGAAGAAAGGAACAGACTCGATTTTTGTAGGTTTCTTCAGCATATTAAGGGCTGCTACTTTTCCTGGTGTTATAAAATAAAACAACATGGTTACATTAAAATATCTTAAGGATTGAATAAACAGCCACTGTGTTATTTTACCGTGAGAATGAGACATTTGCCAGTGACCGATGTTGACCTGCTGGTCACCACGGATACTCAAAGGGAAGGAAGCAACATCTCCAGCACTGAAGATGTCTGGGATATTGGTCCTCATGTACTGGAAAAACAGAGTAGAAAAAACATCCAGATGGACAAAATGACCTGAGAATTATGCAAAATAAACTAAAGTAGCCATGCCTGGTAAGAAATATAAACAAATATGGTAAGTCACAAACATCCATTTATGTCATAAAATTCAAGTTTAATGTGATCTTCATGTTTGATTTCCAGTTATTTTCATGTTAAGTGTTGTTTTCTGTTACCTTGTCAACAATTACAGCTTTCCCTGAATCCACAGCGACCTTACTTCCTGCTAAAAAGTCAGAGTTTGGGATCACACCTAAAGAAAGAAAATGATCTAAGCATTAGATTTATTAGAGCAGCATGATTCACTGATTAACTTTTATTTTAGTGTTATTTTTGGTAATGATTTAACATTTTAATGGTCAACTTTTGAGTGAACCCTTTAAGAAATACTGTACTGTTATTTATATGTTTAGTTGTTTATAGACCTTCATTCTTGCTTTGGTAGTTTGTCTTAAATTGAAAAATTAAAGGTGCAGTATGTAAGAATATAGTGAAAATTTTACAGTGAAAAAAAGCCCATTAGAGTAATGTTTCAGTCATTTTGGAAGGAAGGTTATACTGAAACATTTTTCATATCCAGCTGACTGCTGGGTTGCCAGTTTTTCTCCTTTCATAATAACAAAGGAAGGAGGAACGTAGCTACTGTTTACCATCAGTGAGTGTGAGATTGCCGTGTCTCCTGCGAGCTAATGCTGCGGCGCCGACAGCTGTAATTTGACAACGGTCAGCAAAAAGCTCCAGACTTGTTTAAAGTGGTTGCAGTAACCACATTTTACCACAGGATGTCATTTTTACTTCATTTATACATAATGCACCTTTAATGTTATTTTGAGGCTAATTTCCTCTCCTGCATGCATAGATGTTTATTTTTTTCCACATAAAAACACTAAATATCTGAAGAAGAAATACCAATCCCAGCGATCACCACATCAGCTTCCAGGACCGCTCCGCTGCTCAGCACCACGTTTTTCACCTGAAGGTTTAGTCACGTACAGCTTTCAGTGAGACAGTTTCATGTTACTGACTCAGTGAAATAACTCAGACAAGACAAACCGTCCAGTTTAAACTAACAGTGTAGAGTCAGGGCTACCTTTCCATTCTCCCCTCTGATCTCTGTCACTCTGTCGTTCATGAAAAACTTCACATTCTTTTCTTCCAGCATCTTAAACAGAAGCAATTATTTTTATCAAACAGAAGAATCACAACAACAAAAATGATCAACTTTAGCTAATCTTAACCGCCATCGTCATTTTGCCAATCTCCGGTCCGAGGGACTTCTCAAACGGGTAGGAGGCGGAGCCGACCAAGGCCACACTGGTAGCTTTATCTGATAGGTAAGAGGCTACCTCCATACCTATTTTGTTAATAAATAATTAATATTTTTTACACATCTAGCACCAACAAACGTGTTTAATACTAATAGTAAATCTGAGCGCCGTACCTATGAAAGATGCTCCAATCACAACAGCTCTCTGGCCCACAGAGGAGGAGTGAATCTCTTTGGCGTCGTCATAACTCTGCAGCAGGTGCACCCCCTTCAAGTCTGAACCAGGGCAGCTGAGCGGCCGAGCTCTGAAGCCAGAAACTCATTGTAATTGTTTTTATATCATGAAAACCAAACTGCTGAATCTGAGTATTAATATTTTTAAAGCGAGATGGGATGTGGAGTCTTGCCTGCAGCCTGTGGCGATGAGCAGCTGGTCATAACGCTTGGAGGTGCCATCGCTCATCTTCACCACCTTATCAGGTGGATGCACAGACACCACCTGTAAGAGAACATACCCACACAGAGCCTGAGTTGCAAAATGATCTAGAATGATAACAAATCACAAACATGCCATGTAGCTCCCACTTCTTTCCCCATCCACATTTCTATGGCATACTGTTGATAGAAGTCACCTGACCGGAGGAGGATGCTGCTGCTTTCCAAGTTCATCGCCTGTAGAAGACAAATAAGACAAGAGTACTTGTTATTAATGGTGTTTCAATGTGAGGATAAATGTGGTTTAGTCCCCCCCCCCCCCCTTCTAGGCATGCCCTTACCTTGCTCAGTTTGGGTTTGTCAATTGGTGGCAGGCTGTCTTTGGTTACTATGACAATATGCCCTGGGTAGCAGTTTTGCCGAAGGGTCTCGGCACAAACCAGAGAGGCAGGGCCTGAAATCCCAACATTTGTCAAAAAAATTATTTATGTTCTTTTGTGAAAATAAATGGTTGAATAATTTGAGGATCTGTCCCTAAACATCCAATTTACCAATATTTTAAACATAAAACGTACCTCCTCCTATCAGCAGAACAGTGTGCTTGGTGCCAGGCTGGATGGCGAACATTTCCTTCACCCGCTTGGTCAAAGTCAGAGACTGAAGGTGAGGATAAATGTGGTTTAGTACCAAATAAAACAAAACTTCTACATTTTTAAATTGACTGATGCAGCTCACCTTTTTGTTTATGGTCACATAAACCTTACCGTCCTCAACCTTAACCTGTCACAGAAAACCAAATCAGTGTAAAAATGTTGGCTGCAGGATGTGAGGAGAGGAAACTGTAATGGTGTACTTTAACAGGAATACATTTTCATCATACTAAAGAACGATTTCACTGCTGTGTTTTTGCATAAATCCTTTTATGAACGGCCTGTATGTGTGTTTATATAGAAACCTGCCAGTAAAAATACCCAATTCTAATATGTAATATCATTAGAAATGTTATAACTTATAATTTACTAGTTTTATGAATTTTTGTTTAAAGGATGCATAAAAAAACAAACACGTTGTTCCAAATTTAGTTTAGTTCCAAATTTTATTTAGTTTTATTCTATTTTATTAGTTTTATTACATTTTTATAGTTTTATTCTATTTTTATTTAGTTTTATTCTATTTTATTAGTTTTATTCTATTTTTATAGTTTTATTCTATTTTTATTCTTATTGTGTGTTCATGTTATATGTAGCACATTAGAACCAAAGCAAGTTCCTAGTTTGTGAATTGTTTGTTCACTGACAATGCCAATAAACCTTTTTCTGATTCTGAAATAATTAAATTGCAGCAAGTAATATATCACAATTTTGACTTTTTTTATATATATATTTTTGAACAGCAAAAGGCAATTTGCCACAAAAGTGGTGTGGTTAACCTTGTAGCTGGGGATAGAGTCCAGGCCCGGATACTCCTCTATGTCTCCGGTTCTGACATTGAAGCAGGCTCCATGAAAAGGACATCTCACTCGATCCCCAACCAGAGCTCCTGAAATATCCCCATTTTAGTTCTGGACACGGTCGTGTTTGTTGCACACAGTAAAGTAGGTGGAAGAGCTTTACCTTTAATTAGAGGAGCACTGTAATGGGAGCACCTGCTTCCCACAGCACTGTACTGACCCTGGATTCGGACCAGCAGCACCTTCTGGTCATCCACAGCCACTTCTCTCATTCTTCGTAGAAGCAAAAGTGTAAAAAGAGTAAATTGAAGCTTTGCATCACCGTGGGCAGATTTGAAATCAAATCCTTTTATTCGGTAAAAAACTGAGCTGTAACTCACTGTCCATCTTGGAGATCAGCCTCCAGACAAACCAGTCCCGTCACCTCCTCCTCCTGCTTTTCACTCTGACCTGCTTCTTGTTGCTTGTTCATTCTTGCTAAATGTAAAGCGAACATGACTATTGTTGCAGCAATAGCCAAAATTACAGGTGGGTCCTATTATGCCCATGTAGCAAGACATGCAAAGTTCCACAGCTCATGTATTATTGAGATCAGCTTTGTTTATTCTTTCTGAGCAGACCACAGACAAAATAAGATCAAATGTATTCTGGTATCACTTAATTTATCTAAGACATTTATATTCATCTTGATGTTTGATCTTTTTCTGACTTGTGGCAGTTTATTTTTCTAAAACAATAAACAAATGACGGCAAAGTTCTTAGCCACCTTTTGGCTCGTTTAAAAACAAAACATCTCGGTAACTTGTTGAATAAACTTGAAAACAACTAGCTAAAATTCAAACAAACGAGTCTGACTAATCATTTATCCATTTATACAAGGCATTATAAATAATCAAAATCAAACACCAAGATAACAGGAGAAAACTAGCTGTGACCTCCGTACATGCGAAGCAAAAATACATCAATTAGGCGTTAAATTTGTCTCTCGTAAACACATTTCTCTGAATGAACGTGAAGCTCGACTGGTTTCTTTTACCTGAGAGGGGTCAGAACTGCAGTATTCTTGTCTACAACCAGACTCTAGTGATGTTTTCAGCTGAAACTACTGTCCTCTGAACCAGCCCTGTAAGCGCCTCTCGTAGCAACCATCGACATGGGTAGCAACCGTAACCAGGAAGAGACTGCAATGCGCTGTTGCAAATGGCGTAATGCGCATGCGCAATACAACTATACGTAAATCAGAATCAGAAGGGTTTTTATTGCCGTATGTGCGAGAACCACAACATTAGGAAAATGCTGCGGTACTTTGGCACCGATTTAATTATTAAAACCGTAGTTAATTTGTGTACATTAAAATTGTATTAAAGGAGACATAAATGCTTTTAAGTTATTCCTTTTTACATCTAAATCCTTCAGTTGGGGTCTAAATACAGTCGAACTGCAGTTCTTTGGTCTGATTTCCTCATTACTGTTGCTCTACAGACCCTGTTCTGAGGAGAGTCTTGAGAACGAGCCGTTTTTGGGTACTCTATGCTAAATATATATAATATTAGTTCAATATAATATCAATATTATATATATATATATATTATAATCTTATATATAATATATAATAATATCAATACAATATAAATAATTTTATAATTTTATAGTTTTTGGGTACTGTCTCTTTAAATCTAGAGGAGGAGCTGTAAACTCCGCCCCCCTCCATTGTGCAGACCTGTACTCTCGTCCTCCTGTCGGACTTTGTAGTTTTATATAGAAATCATTATTTAGCATAGCAGAAACATTATATTAGCATTTTTAAAACGTGGGGAGAGTTGTTCATCAAGCTGTTAAGGCTGCTAACTCCCTCATGCATTTGTCTGTAGTCACACCACCCGTCACCACCGTATATTTATGTCGATGGTCACGGCGGACGGAGGGACAAGCGAGCAGGCATGCGCACAAACACACACACACATCCGTCATGGCCGACGGAGGGACAAGTAGCAGGCACGCGCGCACACACCACACATGGAATACTGCTTGCTTATTTATTTCTATAAAAAAAAGTTTTAAAAAATTATACAGCTCATTAAAACACCAATAAAATATATTTTATTAAGATCTCTATCTATCTATTTATATATATATATATATATATAAATAATTTTATAAGTAGTCTTATTTTATATTGGGTGTCTTAATGGCTGAAAATGGATAAAAAGCAGTTACATTTTAATTTAAAGATTTGATATTCTAGTGACAAATAAAGAACATTTCTCAATGTTCTTTCATGTGATCATTATAATTCTAATGCTTACAACTTTGTTTTTATTGTCTGCAATGCGTAGCCTATATCTTTATTAAATGTGCGTTTAGCTGTAACATGGTAATTCTCTCTAATGTGTACAGAGAGGTGGACATCAGTGCTGCAGTGAAATTCCCAAGATCAGTCTGCTTTGCTAACAAATATAGTTAAATCTGACCTGTATTCTAAATAAATACCGTTAGGTGAAAACATCAGTAGGCATTGAGTTATTGATAAAATCCCTAACAGCCAGAATGGAAGAAGAGCATGCTGGGTCATCCTGGATCTGAGCCTGTTCTGTGTATTTACCTACAGGATGCAATAAATGTCTACAAGGCTGAGTTTGGACCATTACATCTGAAAGAAAACATACAATCAGTGATTTTTTTAATTGTTTACATTAATATACAAATTTTCTAAGTATTAACCTCAGAGCAAATAAGTAGAACAATATAATAAACAGGCTTTAGTAGTTAAACAGGCGTTGTCCACACAGGTGCTTTGTGTCCCGGTGCTGGTGGTATCTGGGTCTCAGAGTTCCTGTCCTCCTGCCGTCTTCTGTTGTCCTCAGGATAGGAACTGATGTTTCCTGATGATGAGGGAGGGGCAGTATGTGGGCTTCAAACTGGTCCTGGATAACAGTGGGAGACCTCCGTTGTCCGAATACTGAGACCAGAGGGTTGGTGAGATGCAGATATTCTCTACCTCATCTAGAAACGGAGTTGGTTCAGGGAAAACTTTTCCAAAGACCAGTTCCATGATGTCATCGCCATATTCTGCAATGATAGACAATAACTTTAATGACATATTTTGTTTACAAGCAGCTTTAGGAAAGTTGGTTCTTTAGCTTTCATGTTCATAGTCACGTTTGTGTTGTTTTGGTTCATCTTTTACTTTGTTCACAAGTTCACTTTGCTGCAGTGACTTCATATTTTCCTACAAATGTAATAAAATAGTGACACTAAAATTATACAAATGATTCCTTATGAAAGGAAGCTCATTAGAGAGCAGTGCAGACAGACTTACTACATGCTGCAGCTGTTTTTGTAGGCTAGCTGCTGCTGAATTTGGGGAAAGTTATTCTGCACACGTCCAGATCAGATGGTCGATTACAGAAAATAATGTAATTCAATAATTTCTAAACAGACTAAACAAGTAAAACATCAAATAAATCACTCTGCTGTCATTAGACGGAGTGATTCAGGTGGTGAGGTGTTCTTGATGAGGGTGGCTGAGGTGTCATCACTCACTTTGGTCTGGTCCAGACCGTCTCTTTACTGGTGGGTCTCCTTCCTCAGTAGGTGACATGAAGCTCCAACATCTGAACGTTCTGTGTTCCTTAGAGGAGAAGAAGAGTAACATTAGCAAGCTGGCTAAATTATTTTTTACTAGCATTTCAAGGTCTTGGAGAAGCAGATCTTCACTTACCTAAACATCAAACCAGATTGTCCCTGCTGAGCTCATCAGGGCGTTAGTCTGACAGCCTGTCAGTGAAACACGGCTCCAGCCTTCTGGATGTGGACTCTAAAAAGCAAAGGACATTTTTACTTTTGTTTTAATTATTTTACAGCCGATTTTATCAGCTTTCCGACGCTCACACTCATACAGACGGTGAGCTTTGCTGCGTCTGACTGATGCAGTTAGTTTTTATATCTGCAGTGAGACAAAAAACTAACCTCACTTCACTCAGAGATTGTTCTTTAAAACTATTAAATCCACTGCCACTGTGTTGACGCACTTTAATGACTTTGTCACGCTGAATTTTAGCTGATATGGGACTTTATTTACTGGATGCTAATGTTGGGGTCCTGCCCTCATGAGAAAATTACTACGCAGTATTTTCTCCAAAGGACTGTGCCATCTACGCCCTGAAGAGTAGACAATAAAGCATGTTAATATCAGCGCCAGCAGGGACTCCATGTCCCATGATCCTCTGCAGCCGGCAGCAGCTTGATGACATCATCAAGAGACGCCAAGTCTGACATGCCCCCGGTGGATACCGGCCCCTACAGAGACCGCCCGCTGGACAAGTCTATAAAGCCGAGGCGCAGAGCGGAACTCTTTCTCTCCCCTGTCCAGTTCACCTGGTGTAAGGAGACCCCCACTTCTGCTCCTACCGCTCCGGACGGCGTGTGTGTGAGGCCTAGCTGCTGGGATCAACGGACCAACGCCATCTGATCTGCTCAGCCCCGGACACAGAGGGACACCTTGTGTCCATTCATTCAAGATTTTTCTTTTTTCTCCCTCTTTCTCTCCCGCTTCTCTAATAGTCCAAAACAGCCTATTCAGCCAAACAAAGGATCCGCCATTTTGTTTTCAAAACTCCCTCCAGTTTGGTAATCAGCCTATCTCTGCCTGTTTACATCATCAAGCAGCCTCACCATTGCTTGATCACATCACCATCTCACCCCACCAATCTGATTAGATTGTTACTTCACATTATCATTCCATGGTTTCATTGCTTGTTGTTTGTTTGATAAAATCAGTTGGTTGATATTGATTGGCTAGCGCTTTAGAGGAGCTGAAGTGATTATGTTAGTTAATAAATGTTATTGCCAATTAAGTTTTGTCTCAAGTGAATTTGTCTGTGTTGGATAGAATATGACCGCTGCTCGTTAAAAGAATTTTACGAACTTTAGACAGATTGATAGAGGTTTGGATTCATTTTTCCCCTGTAAAAAGGGGTGGTGCCCCGAGGCATATCCACAGATATCCTAATTACGTAATAAATCGGTAAATATTTCCATATTTACTCATTTTATTGATGAATCCAAAGGGTAAGTAAAGCTTACAAATTATTTGTTGGCTAATAACCACAACACTAAGATTACATCACACTCACGTAGAATAACACACAGGCTCTCTGCTGCTACAATCAGTGGAAGGTTATCATCTGGTGTAAAAAAAGGCAGTGATCAGAAATCCCAGATCACGTTTTATTCCACGAAAATCGGCCAAATCCACATTAATCTGGGTGCTAACTTTACTAACATACTGTGCCAGCGATAGCAAGTCGGATGCTAAAGGTTTAGTGCTGCTAATGCCCGTAAATCTAAAGTAAAGTTTGCCGACATTTTAGAGTGATATGAAGCTTACCGCTCTGCTGCTGTGTCCCGTTGCTGCCACATTCAGATGGAAATGACTCCTTTTAGATAGATGAAGCCCTCAGTACTTAGTCACGAGCCTGGGAGACACGAACGAACGAATGCGCGCGCACGCGCGCGCGCACACACACACACACACACACACACACACACTACTTTTTTCTTCTGTTTTTTTTTTTTTAGCAGTTGTGTCATCAGCTTCTGGGTTTTAAATACTGCCACACCACCCTTCCTTAAAATGAGGAACAGTTTTGAGCTGTGTGTGGCTAAAATTACCAGACATTCTGCATTTTTCCAATAGGACTACAAAAAATCTTAGCGAGAAGAAAAGATGGCGGATTGGCTCTGTGTTTAGCTGAGGGCCATGACCATATTTGGTAGTTATCCTGACGAAATAAATTTCTGATGTAATAGATAATTTGAAAAACTGAACGGGTGGACAAATATGCCCACAACTTAATTATTGAATATCTAAATAGCAACTCCAGTGAATAATATAAGCCTTTTTGCTCACTTAGACACTTAAAATGTGAAACACACTGTGTTAATGGATAAAAAAGTGGGGGTTTCATGTTATGTCTCCTTTAAAAATATCTGAATTGTAGACAGGAAAGCTGAGAAACAGGGCAACAAAATCCATCAATCTGAAACAGGACCTGCAATTACGATTCATCTACTGTGTGGCAGGTTTTTGGCTAATAATTCTTGGAAAATAGTGTTTGTTGTGCTAAAAGACAATTTTAAATCTTCCGAACTCTGCTAACTTTCTTTAATCTTGTAAGGTTTTCCACGGAATTGAGGGAAAATTGACCGGAAAATATTATAGAGACAAGACGATAGTTCACAGTAACATTATAATTTTTATTTGATTTTTCAAACATGAAAATGAATGACAAAGTGACTTTTTGAAAACGGCGGACCTCGATTAACGTTCCAGAAAATATTTTCCACAATTGTTACTCCGTATTTGGCCAGCAGATGTCGCCGTGGTCATTCTTCACAGCCCAGATCTATATGAAAGCTGCGCTGATAGGGATAGGACATTTCTCTGAAACTGTAACATTGAGGAACAGTAACATATGAAAGCATTAAAATTCCGTATGGGAAAACAGCATGAATCCTCCACAGTCTCCTATCTTGCAGGAAATAAACAATAATTCCCATGAACCCACGGTAAATTGTGTTGCGTTCGAAGCTCCTTGTAAATTATGACTTTACAAGTGGGTGTGGTGGGGAAATGTTTTTCAGCGAATTCTGGATTATTTCGATGTAAAAATAATCTTATATATATATATATATATATATATATATATATATATATATATATATATATAAGATTATGCTTAGCTTTATATTTTGTTTTATGTTATCTTAAATATATCGTAAGCAAGAATTTTACTCAAGACTGCATGTTTAATCAGTAAAATGTAAGTATTTTATATTGAGACTTTCTCACTTTTTGTAAAACACAGATAGTCAAATTAAAAACATTGTGCATTAGAATGCACGAGTATTATGACAAAAACAAATAATGCAACTACATTTTTCTTTGTTTTTTGATTTTAGATATGCTTTTTAGAGAGTACATTTGATCGATCTTGGCATAGCACGTTTTACTGACCGTATGAACACACACTGACTGAACTTATATAGTCCTAAAACAAAAACACCACAAAAATATGGGGATGTTCGAGTGAAAATCTTAACTTTATTACCTTACGTTATTATTTAGAAAATTAATATTAACAGTATTATTACTTTACTTTATATTCTAATGCATTTGATGTCCCAAATTAAGCAAAAATTAAGAAAAGTAATTACTTCCACTAGGTAGTTTTTTGTTTGGTGGACGATTTATGTTGTTACTTTATGGTCAGTTAATGTTTGATATATTTTGTTGCCGTGATCTCTCTTATATTTAGCTTTTTTCCTCACATTTTCTTTTAGATGATTTTTGGGGGGCATTGCGCTGTAATTATTCATCTGTCTCAAGTGTTTGGTTTTTGTATTTTAGTCTAATTTGTTATCATAATATTTAAATTTGTGATTTCCGATTGTCACAGAACGCACCACAGCACATGAGCGCGCTTGTGGCCTCGCCCCCTTGTAGTAGGGCGGGACCTCCTCGTTTGGATTCTGTTGATGTCAAAAAGTTACACAAGCTTGTGGGGTGAGGCTCTACCAAAGGGCGGGTTAACAGTCAACAGGACGTGTACCGGTTTAACCTGTGAGTGGAGCATTCCCGCTCGACTGGAGCAGAAGCACCAACCAGCCTTCACTCACACTGGGAGAAACAGTTAATGTCCTCGCCTCTTCTCCCTCTGGAGCACCAAACGCGCCTCGCTGGGGTCCAGCATTCAGAGAGCAGCTGGGAAATCACCGAGATGTTAACGTAGTTGTCTCGCTGTTCCGTCGCGTGTCTGGACCGAAGAGGACCATAGGAGCTTGTTGAATTTTTCTTTCTTTTTCGCTCCTCAAACACAAACGGGTAATCATGGAGCTGAGCTCCGTGATCGCGACCACTGCGGGCTCCATTGGCTTCTTTAGATTGGTGAACGTGGGGGTCGCTGCGCTCCCCATGCCCGAGTCCGCGTGCAGGAATGCGTGGAAATGGAGAAACATCTCCACGTCCCTCGTGCACAGTTTCATCACTGCCATATGGGCAGTGTTCTGGTGAGTTCAGGGAGAAAAGGTGGTGTTTGGTTCATAAAATCCTAAAAAGCATAAATGTTTTCATTTTGTGATGGGACAGACGGATCTTGTCTGGTCCGAACACAGTACAGAGCCAGGTGGCTCACATAGCAAAGCGGGGTGAGCCATCCAATAAAAGGCCTTCCAACGTGACAGCTCTTGTTCTTCAGGTGCTCTGAGAGACTCCAACTGCAAACTGCGATCGTAAGTACTCCTTGTTTATTGGATGGCTCACCCTGCCCTGCAATCCGTTTAATGTGAGCCACCTGGCTCTGTACTGGGATGGGACCAGACAAGAGCTGTCTGTCCCATCACAATTTGTAATAAAATTATACTTTGTGCGTGTAAAATGTTCCCATTCAACAGATTCACACTGGGGGAGAAGGAATGATCTTATTGCCACAATAGCAGCATTCACACCTAATGTATACATGTTGCTGTCAGAGTTTACCAACAATGAAAACAAAATGATTTTTGCCTTTTCAGCTTTTTCCTTCAGCCACAGATGGCAGAGGACCTGATAGAAACGTTCTCTGTGTTTTCTCATGCTTTGGTGTCCTTTTCAATCGGTGAGTAGCCCTTGTGCTGAGGGGGCATCCAAATGCAAAACGCCCCATTTCATGTTCTTTTGAGTATAAAACTGTGTGTTTTGATTGTTTTACTAATGTTTGTCTTAGAAAAACTCTGCTGCAGAAATACAACAGATACAGAAAGTATTTAAACCCCAGTCAATTTTTCAACTCTTGTTGTTTTGCTGCCATTTGCTAAAATTTCATTTAAACCATTTCCTCATTAATATACACACAGCACCCCATATTGACAGAAAAAACTGAATTTTTGAAATTTCTGCAGATTTATTTAAAAAAAAAACTGAAATATCACATGGACCTAAGTCTTCAGACCCTTTACTCGGTATGTAGTAGAAGCACCCTTCTGAGCTAATACAGCCATTAATCTTGGTACAGATGCAACAAGTTTCTTACACCTGGATTTAGGGATACTCTGCCATTCCTCTTTGCAGATCCTCTCCTGTTCTGTCAGGTTGGATGGTGAATGTTTGTGGACAGCCATTTTTAGGTCTCTCCAGAGATTCTCAATTGGGTTTAGGTCAGGGTTCTGGCTGGGCCATTCAAGAACAGACACAGAGTTGCCAAGAAGCCATCCATATTTTAGCTGTGTGCTTGGGGTCATTGTCATGTTGGTAGGTAAACTTTTGGCCCAGTCTGAGGTCCTGAGCGCTCTGGAGTAGGTTCTTGTCCAGGATATCCCTGTAATTGGCCGCAATCATTGTTCCCTTGATTGCAACCGGTCCTGTCCCTGACGCTGAAAAACACCCCCACAGCATGATGCTGCCACTGCCATGCTTCACTGTGGGGCTTTTATTGGACAAGTGATGAGCAGTGCCTGGTTTTCTTCACACATACAGCTTAGAATTAAGGCCATAAAGTTCTATCGTGGTCTCATCAGACCAGAGAATCTTATTTATCACCATCTCGGGGTCCTTCAGGAGTCTTCTAGCAAATTCCATGCAGGCTTTCATGTGTCTTACACTGAGGAGAGGCTTCCGACAGGTCACTCTGCCATAAAGCCCTGACTGGTGGGGGGCTGCAGTGATGGTTGACTTTCTACAACGTTCTCCCATCATTTTAACCACCCCACAGACATGGCCCAGTGGGACACTGTCCTCTCACTTCTGCATTACTTGTATTTTACCTGATAGTTTGGTAATCAACCAAACAAATATCCAGAAAGCTGTAAAGATCCAAGATCTTGCAGATGCTTTATTTCTTAAATAGTTAAGAGGACAAACAAACCTGTAAAGCAAAAATAACTCCTAGACGATTCCCAGGATATTTGACATTCTCGGCCTTGGAAGCTCAACGAAGGGCTTTATAATCAGTCCAAGGCGCCAGACGTAATCGTGTACGCTCATGAATTCACAAAGACGGCAAATGCGTTAAACACCAGGCCATCAATGAGAGCTGATGCAGGCAGCAGCAGGAGACCCCCCCCCCCCCCTTCACACACACACACACACACACACACACACACACACACACACACACACACACACACACTTGTTTTCATTTCAATACTTCATCAGAATGGGTAAGATATTATTTACAGGAACATACTTCAGACTGAATTGTCCCTCTCTCTCTCTGTGTGTGTGTGTGTGTGTGTGTGTGTGTGTGTGTGTGTGTGTGTGTGTGTGTGCGTGTGCGTGTGCGTGTGCGTGTGCGTGTGTGTGTGTGTGTGAATCAGAATTTATAGCTGATACCACAAGATTTTAACCAAGTAGTTTAGGAAAGGAGAACAAGTTCCTGTAGACATTCCTAACTGGGATGAAACAAATGTACTCCTTGAAGGACCAGTTATGCTCTGGTTGAGTCTGGAGATTCCCTCGCTGCACAAAGCCACCCACTCCACTCGTTTGGAAACGATGAGATCCAACAGAGTTTGTCTCTCTTGCTTCTGTTTTTTTTTATTTAAACACATGCTGCACGATCCTGAGTGAGTCATTGTAAAAGCATGAGGATGAGGCTGATAAGGTGTCGCGCTATCTTGTTTGATAAAGTCTCTGAAGCACTAAGCCTGCCTCAAACCAAAGTGACATTTTGTGCAGCAAGTTTATTTTATTTTTTTCTGGTGTTGCATTTCTAAATGTAAGGAAAAATGACTTTTGTTTGATTCAATTCAAAAATACATGATTAATCCCAGAGGGAAATTGATTGCTGTAGTAGCTCAGAATAATAATAAAGTCATCAAAGAGTTATTGTATATTACAATGGCTGTTGGCAGGAAGGATCTCCAGTAGCGGTCAGTGTTGCAGTGAAACTGAAGAAGCCTAGATATAGCACCCTCTATGATCCTACCCCCCACCCCTCCCCCAAGGTGCTTTACAACAGTCATTTACTAACGCACACAAACACATTCACACACTAAAAACCTCATCTCAACCTCAACAGAGCCCCAAGCTCTCCTCGCCAACCTCAAGCCTCTATTATTTTTGCAGTATTCTTCAAAGCCGTCTCCATGGTTACAGCGGCTGTTGAGTATAAATAGCCCCTTGCCAAGAAGCATCCTGGTTGCCGTTCCTGTTGCTATGGAAGCAGCCTTGTCTAAAGAATCTGTTGTGTATTTTGGGTCAAATGTGATGAAGTTAACCCAGACGTCTGCCGTTACAGGTTACTTCATCCATGACTTTTTTGACATGGTGTTCAACCAGAAGCTCAGTCAGTCTTGGGAGCTGCTCTTCCATCACATCGTGGTAAGGTCTAAACACAAGCTGTGATCTAAGGAATTCCTCAGACAGCGTTGTGTGCTGTGTTGTGTGCTGCCATGGACGGATTATCTAAATGTCTGTCTTCATGGGATAAAAAAAAACAGCAGCAGAGTTGGGTCGGAGTGATTTAAATTCTGGAAAAATAACCTGAGGTGAAGACGCAGGACCACATCCTGAGTCAATGTTTTCCCTTTTCCACCGCTGCCTTCATGACCTACTTCCAGGACTCTGCTGGAGCTGATGCCAAACTCTTGTTCTGATGCAATTCTCACCTCACAAAAACACTTTTTAGTTAAGGGACTGGAGTAGATTAGCATTGATTTCTCATCACTTTTAGGTCATTTTTTGTGTAAATAGTCCATTTACCATCATTTAAAAACAAAGATCACCTAACAATGAAGTTTTTCTTTTTTGGGCAAATCTTGAAACTAAATACACAATCTCACACAATATCAGAATATTTATGGTGATCTGATAGCACTCGGTGACAGCTTCACATGACAAATGCTAGTTCAACATCTTTAAAATAAACCAAATTGTAGCCGTTTAGTGTTTAGCTTGTTCGTTTTTGATGACGGATATCCTTTATTTATTCCTGCTTATTTACTGTGTTTGTTGGATGGTATTTTGTTGTTGTAAACTGTTTTAGGAGTATTTTAAATACTCTACTAGTTTTATTTTGGGTGACTGGTAAACTATATATTTTTCAGTTGAGAGTCGGTGTTCCAGTGATGGAAGTATTCGTTAAAGTAGGAAATGGGCCTTTGCCTGGAATAGCAGGCTGGTGCTAACAGGACATGGTTGTGTTGCCTTTTTTTCTGGAATTTCTCTCCTATTCCAGGGAGTCCAGCGAATGGACGGTTTGGCCAGCTGGCTTCAGATTGTCATTGAACAGCAGGGACAGCAGCAGTTCAGAAGGTAGTTGGTTGTCCAGTAATCAGAGGGTTGCAGTTTTCAGGTTCGATCCTGGCTCCGACCAGAGAATGCTGCTGTTGTGTCCTTGGGCAAGACACTTAACCCACCTTGCCTGCTGGTCATTTTTTGAAAACCAATATATTTATTTATTTATTTACAGTTTTTAAAGACTGAATTTTAATTTGAAAACTCAAGCCAGGACATGCTGTGTTCGTTGTTCCGTCAGAATTAAAGCGGTAAAATTGTGCCACCTAGCAGTCGGAGTTTGAATTGCACAACATTAAAATGTGGTTTTTGTAACCATACAAATTTGTATAAAAAAAAAAATAATGCACTGCTTTTTAATGCACTGCTTTTAAATATCGATTCAGTCTCCTAAAACATGTTTATCGCAATATTTGAGTGAGTGTATTTTCTCACATCCCTAGTAACGGGGTAGACGGCTATATCGGTCAGCGGGTATTTACTGTTCATGCATCAGTCGATATTTGTCCATAGTACAGCGGATTTAATGTCAGGCGCATCGGTTTAGCATGTTATGATTTCCCCTTTTTATTCAACATTCCATTACTTTTATGATTTTTTTTTCATCTTTTAATGATGTACAACAATATATTGTGAATTTTATGGTTGTGTTCAGCACCTCGGTCTGCTGATTATGGAAGCTGCTTTATAAATAAATCAATGAAATGATTTTGGATTGTGGAACCTCGGATTTAGGAGGAACAATGTGATTTTCTTCCTGACTGACCAGCTCTATATACCCATTGGGGGATCCTGGAGGGTGCGTGGGAATTTGCCCAACCACTCTACATGCGTTTGTGGATTTGGAGAAGGCGTTTGACCGCATCCCTCGGGGGGGCCCTGTGGAGGGTACTCTAGGAGAATGGGGTACCAGGCCCTCTGATACGGGCTGTTAGGTCTCTGTATGACCGATGTCAGAGTATAGTCCGCATTGCCGGCAGTAAGTGGGGCTCATTCCCGGTGAGAGTTGGACTCTGCCTAGTCTGCCCTTTGTCACCGATTCTATTCCTAAATTTCATGGACAGGATTTCTAGGTGCAGCCAAGGTGTTTAGGGCATCCGTTTTGGTGGCCTGAAGATCAGGTCTCTGCTTTTTGGAGATGATGTGGTCCTGTTGGTTTCATCAGAACGAGATCTCTGGCTTTCACTGGAGCAGTTCTCAGCCAAGTGTGAAGCAGCTGAGATGGGAATCAGCTCTTCTAAATCTGAGGCCATGTCTTGACGCAAAAAAGGGTAGAATGCTTTCTCCGGGCCAGGGATGAGGTCCTGCCCCAAGTGGAGGAGTTTAAGTATCTCGAGGTCTTGTTCACGAGTGAGGGAAAACTGGAGCGTGAGATTGATAGGCGGATTGGTGCTGCGCCTGCAGTGATGCGGGCGTTGTACCGATCTGTCGTGGTGAGTTTATGACACTCAGCAGAGCAGTGTAGACCTAAAGGAAGACCCAGTACACGCTTGAGGGACTGTCTCTCACCTGGCCAGGGAACGCCTTGGGATTCCCCCGGAGGAGCTGGCCCAAGTAGCTGGGGAGAGGGAAGTCTGGGCCCAGTGACCTGACTCCATATAAGCGAAAGACAGTGGATGTTAAAGTCCCATTAGTTGTCACACACACTGATGTGTGTGCGAAATTTGTTCTCCGCATTTGACCCATCCCCTGGGGGAGCGGTGAGCTGCAGACACAGCCGCGCTCGAGAAACATTTGGTGGTTTAACCCCCCAATCCAACCCCTTTATGCTGAGTGTCAAGCAGGGAGGCATTGGGTCCCATTTTTTTTTTCAAGTCTTTGGTATGACCCGACCAGGAATCGAACCCTGATCTCCCAGTCTCAGGGCGGACACTCTGCCACTAGGTCACTGAGCTGGTAAGACAGTGGATGGAAAATAAAATTATCTTCATGATTGCATGCTAAGGAGAACCTGCAGATTTTGGTCTTGGGCCAAAACCTGTTTGTTCTCTGCTTTCATCCATGTACAGAAAAAGACGCTCTGTGGCCAAACCAATTAGTTTGTTCAAATCAGGGAGTAGAGGGGGTTACTTTAACGATAAAGGGGCTGACCTATCCGGCTGGTCACTGACATAAAACCAGAGGTGTGACCAATGTCCTTTGGACTGATTGGACCAAGTGGAAATGGAGTGGAGTTTACTGGTGTCTGTTGTAGGCTAGAAAACTTGGTACCTTGCATTTATGGATGTCATGTCTGTTTACGTAAAAATAATCTCCAATGATTGATGGATCATCATTTTCCTGAAGGGGTTTCCATTTTTAGGTGAATATGTAGCCATCATTACTTGTGACTTCCAATTTAGAGCCAGTCAATTAGGGAAACGCCAAGAAACAGGATTCAGCTTTTCCTGTCTGAACTTCCCTCTAAGGGTTTGGTCTGATGTACATAAAAGGAGCAGCGTGCGGTCTAAGGCGAGATTTGCTGATCTCCGTTGTTGCATTGCAGCAGAACTGCTGTCAAACATTCCATGGAACGTTTTCTTCTTCTTCCACTTGACTAAAGTAGGGATTACAGCCTCTTTCGGTCAGAGGGAATGTGGGTCCTGCCACAGTCCCTCAAAACAGACTTTAATCATAACGTCACGTTATCAGATGTGCTTCACATAGATACAAGGAAGACAAACAGATCAGCCAAAAATAGCATTGCTTTTTCTGTAAAGGTTAAAAGAAAGTTGCAGAGTTTGTAAAAATCAATGTTGTTTTTTTCATTGCCAGGAAAACCAGTTAGTTTCCACTCTAATGAAAAGGTGAATATAACGTGCGTGTTTTGTTTCACTCCTAATGTTGAGCTGAACAGAAGCCAAAGAGCAGATCTGTTTTTTCCATGGAAGTGGTAATCAGCATTTGAACAACTTTAGTTCTATCTAAAGGTTTAGAAATTTTATCCTGTGAAATAAAAAAAAAGTTGCCAATTTTTTGTGTTTTTGTCCATTTAAGATGTCACAATTGGAAGTTATTGAGGCAAACAAAAACATGGGATTTTTTTCATATGATTGCACAAGTTGCTCTTTTGAAATGCCCAGGAAACTTGATTATTCTCCCAGTGTCCATCTTCTGCTTCCATTTGTTTGAATGGTGTGAAATAGCTGGGCTTCGACATAGTTTAAGAAACATTTCAGCAGAGCTTGTTTGGTCGCTGCAGATAACGTCACCAGAAATTGTTCAGATAATTTGTGTTCACTGCCTTGTTTAGGTAATCAAAATGCTGATTTCACAGAAAACAAGTGTAAGGAGATTCCTGGTTGTCCTAGATCCACTATGTTGGCGTCTGAAACCTAGCTTTAGGCTAGTGCCACTTCTAATTCTGTCTTTTTTTGGCCAAAAATTTAAAGCCATACTATGCAGTTTTATACTTTTTCATATTTTTAAACCATTTTCTCGAGCCAGTATGTGCTAAAATTGCTCTTTAAAGGGTTGATAAAATGTCACTCAGACCCCTACTGCCCCCTGTGGCCAGAATACCACATTTGTAACTTCAGACTGGTAGGCTGCCTCCGTTGGACTAAAAAATCGAGCTGACACATCTGGGACTGCAGTCTGCTTCCAGCACGTTTCCTGCATGTTTTAGATCACTAACACAGCTGATTTGTTTAACTTAAAGGGACTTTACGGAGTTTTGAATTTTTATGCTCACGATTGCCCCCTCAGGCCAAAAGCGTAATGGCAGCTTCAAAAGTAGGCTCGTGCACGAGGCGCGCATGCTGTACGTGCACACTCCTTAACAAAAATAGCAGCTGAGACAGTCCCTTGTGTGTGTGTGTGTGTGTGTGTGTGTGTGTGGCCCGGAGGACAGAGGACAGGAGAACGCACAGCTAATTAATTAAATAATTTGGTTCTGTAACTTTCTCTTCAGCACAGCCGACAAAGGTTTATGATGGGTCAGTCCCCCTGCATGCTCAGATCATTCCCTTCTCTTGCTTGAAAAATTGTTCCAAAATGAAAGTTGAACCCACATCTTTTTTATCTGTGAATTGAATGCCGTTCGGCGAGTCTCAAATGAAAATTTGGGCATCTTACTGTAAAAAAATATACCATTAATGTAAAAA